GTAAAGTGAAAATAGGTTGGGTCGAGTTAGGTTTTGTTAAATTTATGTCTAATCTATTAACAAATTTAAAATTTAAGTTTGGCTTGTAGTCAATTATAGACTTATTTTTAGGTCAAAGTCTGACCTTTTCGAAGGTCTGATGACCTACTACCCTACTTAAAAGCCTATTTCAATTGAACGTTTGTAAATAAGAAATTCAATTAATGTTAAATAGATTAACAAATTAAAAGAGCATTAAAACTAAATATTTATTTTTATTGTCTAATTTAAATTTACCTATTAACATAAGTTTAGTGATACTATTTATTAAGCCGACCTGTTAAATTTAAAAGATTTTTTAATGTCCGTAACCTAACCTTTTTATCTAAGTAAGTTTATAAAAAAATTAGACATTTTCTATTTAAAATAAAATCTAGTCTGACTTGAGTCTATATAAACTAGACCGTAGATTTCTGTTAGTTGACCTGACCTATTCTAACAGTAATTAAAGAGACATTTTAATTAAATAACTTTTAAAATTACATACATTATATTTTTTGAATTTTTGCATATAGATGTCTCTACAATCCATTGAACTCATTCAAGCATTATCAATTAAATGGAAATATAATTAATGCTTTAGAGATATTCTTTAAGAACTTAAAAAAAAAAACTTTTTTTAAATGCTTATAATAAATACATTAAAAATTAAAAAATAATTAATATTTTAAAATAATATTATTTTATTTAGAATCCATAAAAAAAAATCCATGTAACCCCAGTTAAAATGACCCTTAATTCAATTTTATTGTATATTATGTTGTTGTATATAATACTATATGGATAACACTAATTTATTAATTTTTTATTATTCCATAAATAAAGTCAGATAAGTAGATGTTTGAAAGACGTTTGATGTCTATGCTAAATCAACAACCTGCCACTAGTCCCCCTTTTGAAACAAAAACGTACCACCAAATCAAAGTCCATATACCATGATACATCATTGTGACTTGTTTCTCTTACTCTTTGACCAAAAATTTCATCATCCCAGTGGAATACATCACAATCTTATTCTTTTCCCCAATACTTTCACTTCCAGTATTTTCTCCCTGGGTTTGCAGTTGACTTGGAAACAAACATCTTCATAACAATATTATGGTGGCACAAAGGAGTTATTCCATTTGAAGACATGCTTGACTTTGAACTTTCTTACTTTTTCATTCTCGATGGATGGATAAATATGATGGTTTGACTTTGAAAATGAAGGAGAATGAAGAAGAAGACGAGAGGAATGAAGGAGAAGACACGAAGAATGAATGATAATATATTTAGGGATTCTGATTTCTCTTTCTCAATATCGCATGTGAGATTAGAGATGAATTGTGGATAGTGTGGTAACTATGCATACCGATTTACACATGTGGAAATAATTTAAAATGAAAAAGCCATACATATCAATGATACATCAACCTTTAAGTTTACTGGTTTAATGAGGGTGGACAAGAGAGGAATCTTGGAAGGTTAAGGGGATATCCAAACTTTTTTTTTACAGGGTTTTTTCGAAAATGACCCAAATGGCAAGGTGAAAATAAGTATTAATCCAAAAATCATTTAAAAAAAGATGAATCAAACATGCCCATAATTATGCTTGTCAGATGATTATAAAAAAATAAAAACAATTAAAGCCACACATCTTTTCCAAAAAAAAAAACCACGATGACGTCCTTTGCGAGTTTTTTTACCATTGTAGTCAAAACAATTGAGTGTTCCTAATTTTGATATTCTTTTTAAATAAGCATATTTTCCAATTTAAAGTCTAAAATAACCATTTTTCCCAACTATATACTAAACTATTCACGTTTCAAACAAAACAAAATTCACAACTATATACCAGACCAATTGACACATGCTCTTAAAATTGTACTTAGACTCCAATGCAATCATCACATACATATAAAAAATAAAATAAAAATAAATACACATTGACGTTAGATCAATTGACGCATGCATATAGCAAATGCACATAGATATTAGTAGAACTGGCGCATGCTTTTTGCTGCATTTTATTTTGTTTAAAATATGGATAATTTAGCAATATAATTAGAAAGATAGTTAGTTTGAAAATTAAGTTTGAGAATATGATTATTTAAAAAAAATCCTTAATTTAAATAGGATGTGCAATTTTAATTGGAATTGAATGGAAAAATCAGAAATATTATGTTATTCTCATTATAATAAACTTAATTACAAATTTATCTTAAACTTGTAAATATATTTGATTGACTTAATGGAACAATGAAACTTTGCTATTTTTGACCAAGTAATCCTGCAGTTGAAATTTTACTTTTTAATATATTTAAAGATGAATAAGTGAAAATTTACTTTATTTGATGACTATCACAGTTATTGATTTAACAAAACAAATAAAACTTTGTGTTACATTAATGTAAATATCAAGTATTTTTCCTTTTCATTATACATAAATTAAAAAGTAAGGTTTGTAAAATTTTAATCAATGATAAATATCAATATTACATTAATGTAAATACAATTATTATTTTTCTTTATTATTATAAACAAATTAAAAAGTTGATTTGTAAAATTTTAATCAGAATAAATATTTACAATAAATACTAGGGGTGTACATGAGTATGAAGTAACCTACAAATTCACTCATCCAACATAGTTCAACTTTTATTTTTATCCAATTCAATTATGTACGAGTTCAATACAAAGTAACTCATTCAACTCATTGATATTCGGTTCAGAAAACAGATTTGACGTTTTAAATACACGAACCTATAAATCTAAATCACTAATATGTCATACTATTTTTATTTTACTTTATTTATAAATTATCTAAAATAATTCTTACAATACATATTTTTTTTAAATATAATTATAGTTTTTATTAACCGTAAATGGAAAAGTCTAAATTAATATTGAGAGATTAATTTTATTCATTCAAATAGAGATATGTGTTACTTTTTAAATTATACTTTACACAATTTATATATTTTTTAATTTATTAACTATATTTTACTTATAATTTATTAACCAACTATACTACTTCATAATTAATAAAATACATAATATTAACTAAGTTCTAACATTAATTTATAATTTGGTTAATAAATTTAAAAAAAAAAAGTAAATAATAAAATAAAATTGGTTAATATTAAACAATTTTATAAACTAGTATTTATAATATAAACAAATTTTCAGTAGTTTTTTTTAATTTTAAAATTTCATTTGTCAAATTATAAATTATTGTCAGAACATATTATATATTTTACTGGTTAATGAAATAGTAAAGTTGGTTAATGATCTATGATTAATAACATATATTTTTGTAGTTAATATAATAATAAAATTGGTTAATAAATTTTTTTATATTTATTTTAAAAATTAATTTAAAAATAATTTTTTATTAGAAAAAAACAATGCTCAATATAAATACCATGTAAACAATGTCAAGTGTAAGTATTAGTATAAAAAATAGTGTAAAAATAACATTACTCATTAGTTTAAATATCAAGTTTTTTTCCATTTTATTATACATAAATTAAAAATCAATCAATAAATATTAATATTAGATTAATGTAAATACAATTATTTAATTTTTTTTAATAAAAAATATTTTTTCTTTTTTATTATACACAAATTAAAAAGTTGGTTTGTAAAATTTTAATCCACCAATACGTATTTACACTAAATGCCTTGTTACAAATTTAACTAAGACATTATATCATAGTTTATGTTTGTTAATTTATGATAATTATATAAATAAAATAAAAATAAATAAATTAAAGACAATTATCTTCCCAAGAAAATGACTAAGTACCTGAAATGAATTTATCAAAAATTACTTGAAACAGTTTTATTATTTATACATATTAAAAAAGTACTAGAAATAAATATAACAATTTTACTACTATTAGTCACATTATATTATTATGTCAAGAAGAAAAACATAAGTATTTTACACGGTTTTTGTGTTTTTCTAGTGCCTATACTCATGGGAAATAACATAGGTAGATCTCACTCATATCACACATTATGAATGTCTAAAAATATATTTGAGATGTGTAATGTAATTTTCAATATTCACAAAAGGCAATGTATAATTGTATTCATATGATGAAAAACGCATGTAGTGTTTATGATTTATGAATAAATAAAATGCAAAATTTTGTATTTTTATAAGTTTGAATGAATTAGGTGTACTGTTATTAATTTATTACAACACATTATTTTGGTTACTCACCATATACCATATAAATACTTTTTAATCTATTTTTTTTTATTTTTAAATTTAATTCATTGAAAGTAAAGTGAAAATAGGTTGGGTCGAGTTAGGTTTTGTTAAATTTATGTCTAATCTATTAACAAATTTAAAATTTAAGTTTGGCTTGTAGTCAATTATAGACTTATTTTTAGGTCAAAGTCTGACCTTTTCGAAGGTCTGATTGACCTACTACCCTACTTAAAAGCCTATTTCAATTGAACGTTTGTAAATAAGAAATTCAATTAATGTTAAATAGATTAACAAATTAAAAGATCATTAAAACTAAATATTTATTTTTATTGTCTAATTTAAATTTACCTATTAACATAAGTTTAGTGATACTATTTATTAAGCCGACCTGTTAAATTTAAAAGATTTTTTAATGTCCGTAACCTAACCTTTTTATCTAAGTAAGTTTATAAAAAAATTAGACATTTTCTATTTAAAATAAAATCTAGTCTGACTTGAGTCTATATAAACTAGACCGTAGATTTCTGTTAGTTGACCTGACCTATTCTAACAGTAATTGAAAGAGACATTTTAATTAAATAACTTTTAAAATTACATACATTATATTTTTTTGAATTTTTGCATATAGATGTCTCTACAATCCATTGAACTCATTCAAGCATTATTCTTTTATTTTTTTTTAATCAAAAATTGTGGTATTAACTCAAAAATCACATTACAATCCAAGGCGATCACATGATCCAGCCAACAAACAAACTAATTAAGGTAAAAGAAGCCTAGCTATTTGTGGTCTAAGCTTAGGACTAGTCCACCCTCTATATATTATGTTGTTTATAATACTATCTAGGCAATTCCTATTATCTGTTCTTTGATTAAAACAGGAATCATTCCGATACATCCAGAGCTCGTGAAGAGTTTCCGCGAGTGCAAGCCTAAATAAATCAAATTTCCAGCCTTTCCCACCATAATTTATCAGAGCCCATTGCATTTCCTCTTTCCATCTTGTTGGGATGCGTTGAATGCCCATCCATTGAAGAACACCACTCCATATTTGCTTCAATTTGAAACAACAGAAAAATAAATGATCAATGGTTTCCTCTTCATTGCAGAACCCACATTTGTTATTCTGGAGCATACCCAGTCTGAGGAGTCTAGCCTTGGTAGGTAGCTTGTCATGGCAGATCATCCATAGAGTAATAATTTCCCGGGGTCTGGCTCTATTGTGAAGAATAAGTTTAGCCCATGTAACATTAGGAGTAATAGGTAGAAGACTTTGATATACTTTTCTCCCAAGGAATTTACCTGTTTGCAGTATTTCATTCCAAGTATTCTGTATATTTACTAGATTGTCCCTTTGTAGAAGAATAGTTTTGAAGATTCCAGAGTCTGAGGCCTTAGCAGTTCTGGTCAGTATACCCTCGTGTCTTAAGTAGTAAGCATGTATCCATCGTACCCATAGATCATCAGATTTCGCAAAGATATTCCAGAGCAGTTTTATCATAAACATTCTATTCCATATTTCCAAATTCATCACATTTAGTCCGCCTTTCACATGTGGTTTACAAACATTATCCCACGCCACTGGACTCTTCCTACTGATAGTAGTACCCCCTGTCCACAGAAAAGACCTGCATATTGCATTGATCCTATTAATCACAGTTTTTGGAAACCAGATACATTGCATCCAGTAGGTAGTGATGGCACAGAGTACACTCTTGATAAGTTGTAGCCTGCCTGCATAACTCAACAGTCGAGAGCTCCAATGAGTTATTCTACTTAATAATCTGTCTAACAACGGCATGTAATGGATAATAGCAAGTCGCTTACTAGTCACCTGAATCCCAAGGTATCTAAAGGGGAAGGTTCCTTCTTGGTAGGAAGTTAGCTGAAGGATGTCACACTTGACATTAGCAGAGACATTACTAAAATACACCCTACTTTTGGAAGGGTTTATTTTCAAACCTGTAGACTCCAGAAACTTGTTCACAATTAAATGCAGGATATCCATGGACCCATAATCTCCTCTAGGAAACAACAACAGGTCATCAGCAAAGGTTAGGTGGGTGATTTGCAGTCGTTCTCATTTAGCATGATGATTGAAGTCAGGGTTTTTTTGCATTCTGAACAGCAATCTACTAAGATATTCCATAATAATTACAAAAAGGAGAGGGGATAATGGATCCCCTTGCCTAATACCTCTTCTAGCTTCGATCTTATCCGTATACTTCCCATTAATATTAAATCGGTAAGAAACTGTAGTCACAGTGGTCATAATCCAATCAACAAATCTCGTAGGTAATCCTACTTCATTCAGAATATTTTCAAGCGCGCCCCAATCCACCATGTCATAAGCTTTTTGGAGATCTAGTTGCACCATACATCTAGGAGGACCATTACTCCTAGTATAACCTTTTAAAAGTTCCATAGGAAGTAATATGTGAGAGTGGATTTTCTGACCCAGTACAAACGCTGCCTGCGCTTTGCTAATGATGCTTCCTAATACCTTACCAAGTCTAGCTGTGAGGATCTTTGAGATGATTTTCAAGCATTATTAATTAAATGGAAATATAATTAATGCTTTAGAGATATTCTTTAAGAACTTAAAAAAATAACTTTTTTTAAATTCTTATAATAAATACATTAAAAATTAAAAAATAATTAATATTTTAAAATAATATTATTTTATTTAGAATCCATAAAAAAAATCCATGTAACCCCAGTTAAAATGACCCTTAATTCAATTTTATTGTATATTATGTTGTTGTATATAATACTATATGGATAACACTAATTTATTAATTTTTTATTATTCCATAAATAAAGTCAGATAAGTAGATGTTTGAAAGACGTTTGATGTCTATGCTAAATCAACAACCTGCCACTAGTCCCCCTTTTGAAACAAAAACGTACCACCAAATCAAAGTCCATATACCATGATACATCATTGTGACTTGTTTCTCTTACTCTTTGACCAAAAATTTCATCATCCCAGTGGAATACATCACAATCTTATTCTTTTCCCCAATACTTTCACTTCCAGTATTTTCTCCCTGGGTTTGCAGTTGACTTGGAAACAAACATCTTCATAACAATATTATGGTGGCACAAAGGAGTTATTCCATTTGAAGACATGCTTGACTTTGAACTTTCTGACTTTTTCATTCTCGATGGATGGATAAATATGATGGTTTGACTTTGAAAATGAAGGAGAATGAAGCAGAAGACGAGAGGAATGAAGGAGAAGACACGAAGAATGAATGATAATAGATTTAGGGATTCTGATTTCTCTTTCTCAATATCGCATGTGAGATTAGAGATGAATTGTGGATAGTGTGGTAACTATGCATACCGATTTACACATGTGGAAATAATTTAAAATGAAAAAGCCATACATATCAATGATACATCAACCTTTAAGTTTACTGGTTTAATGAGGGTGGACAAGAGAGGAATCTTGGAAGGTTAAGGGGATATCCAAACTTTTTTTTCACAGGGTTTTATTGAAAATGACCCAAATGGCAAGGTGAAAAGAAGTATTAATCCAAAAATCATTTAAAAAAAGATGAATCAAACATGCCCATAATTATGCTTGTCAGATGATTATAAAAAAATAAAAACAATTAGAGCCACACATCTTTTCCAAAAAAAAAAACCACGGTGACGTCCTTTGCGAGTTTTTTTACCATTGTAGTCAAAACAATTGAGTGTTCCTAATTTTGATATTCTTTTTAAATAAGCATATTTTCCAATTTAAAGTATAAAATAACCATTTTTCCCAACTATATACTAAACTATTCACGTTTCAAACAAAACAAAATTCACAACTATATACCAGACCAATTGACACATGCTCTTAAAATTGTACTTAGACTCCAAAGCAATCATCACATACATATAAAAAATAAAATAAAAATAAATACACATTGACGTTAGATCAATTGACGCATGCATATAGCAAATGCACATAGATATTAGTAGAACTGGCGCATGCTTTTTGCTGCATTTTATTTTGTTTAAAATATGGATAATTTAGCAATATAATTAGAAAGATAGTTAGTTTGAAAATTAAGTTTGAGAATATGATTATTTAAAAAAAATCCTTAATTTAAATAGGATGTGCAATTTTAATTGGAATTGAATGGAAAAATCAGAAATATTATGTTATTCTCATTATAATAAACTTAATTACAAATTTATCTTAAACTTGTAAATATATTTGATTGACTTAATGGAACAATGAAACTTTGCTATTTTTGACCAAGTAATCCTGCGGTTGAAATTTTACTTTTTAATATATTTAAATATGAATAAGTGAAAATTTACTTTATTTGATGACTATCACAGTTATTGATTTAACAAAACAAATAAAACTTTGTGTTACATTAATGTAAATATCAAGTATTTTTCCTTTTCATTATACATAAATTAAAAAGTAAGTTTTGTAAAATTTTAATCAATGATAAATATCAATATTATTTAATGTAAATACAATTATTATTTTTCTTTATTATTATACACAAATTAAAATGTTGATTTGTAAAATTTTAATCAGAATAAATATTTACAATAAATACTAGGGGTGTACATGAGTATGAAGTAACCTACAAATTCACTCATCCAACATAGTTCAACTTTTATTTTTATCCAATTCAATTATGTACGAGTTCAATTGAAAGTAACTCATTCAACTCATTGATATTTGGTTCAGAAAACAGATTTGACGTTTTAAATACACGAACCTATAAATCTAAATCACTAATATGTCATACAATTTTTATTTTACTTTATTTATAAATTATCTAAAATAATTCTTACAATACATATTTTTTTTAAATATAATTATAGTTTTTATTAACCGTAAATGAAAAAGTCTAAATTAATCTTGAGAGATTAATTTTATTCATTCAAAGAGAGATATGTGTTACTTTTTAAATTATTCTTTACACAATTTATATATTTTTTAATTTATTAACTATATTTTACTTATAATTTATTTACCAACTACACTACTTCATAATCAATAAAATACATAATATTAACTAAGTTCTAACATTAATTTATAATTTGGTTAATAAATTTTAAAAATAAAAAAAAGTAAATAATAAAATAAAATTGGTTAATATTAAACAATTTTATAAACTAGTATTTATAATATAAACCAATTTTCATTATTTTTTTTTAATTTTAAAATTTCATTTGTCAAATTATAAATTATTGTCAGAACATATTATATATTTTACTGGTTAATGAAATAGTAAAGTTGGTTAATGATCTATGATTAATAACATATATTTTTGTAGTTAATATAATAATAGAATTGGTTAATAAATTTTTTTATATTTATTTTAAAAATTAATTTAAAAATACTTTTTTATTAGAAAAAAAACAATGCTCAATATAAATACCATGTAAACAATGTCAAGTGTAAGTATTAGTATAAAAAATAGTGTAAAAATAACATTACTCATTAGTTTAAATATCAAGTATTTTTCCATTTTATTATACATAAATTAAAAATCAATCAATAAATATTAATATTAGATTAATGTAAATACAATTATTTAATTTTTTTTAATAAAAAATATTTTTTCTTTTTTATTATACACAAATTAAAAAGTTGGTTTGTAAAATTTTAATCCACCAATAAGTATTTACACTAAATGCCTTGTTACAAATTTAACTAAGACATTATATCATAGTTTATGTTTGTTACTTTATGATAATTATATAAATAAAATAAAAATAAATAAATTAAAGACAATTCTCTTCCCAAGAAAAAGACTAAGTACCTGAAACGAATTTATCAAAAATTACTTGAAACAGTTTTATTATTTATACATATTAAAAAAGTACTAGAAATAAATATAACAATTTTACTACTATTAGTCACATTATATTATTATGTCAAGAAGAAAAACATAAGTATTTTACACGGTTTTTGTGTTTTTCTAGTGCCTATACTCATGGGAAATAAGATAGGTAGATCTCATCATATCACACATTATGAATGTCTAAAAATATATTTGAGATGTGTAATGTAATTTTCAATATTCACAAAAGGCAATGTATCGTTGTATTCATATGATGAAAAACGCATGTAATGTTTATGATTTATGAATAAATAAAATGCAAAATTTTGTATTTTTATAAGTTGAAATGAAGTAGGTGTACTGTTATTAATTTATTACAACACATTATTTTTGTTACTCACCATATACCATATAAATACTTTTTAATCTATTTTTTTTATTTTTAAATTTAATTCATTGAAAGTAAAGTGAAAATAGGTTTCGTCGAGTTAGGTTTTGTTAAATTTATGTCTAATCTATTAACAAATTTAAAATTTAAGTTTGGCTTGTAGTCAATTATAGACTTATTTTTAGGTCAAAGTCTGACCTTTTCGAAGTTCTGATTGACCTACTACCCTACTTAAAAGCCTATTTCAATTGAACGTTTGTAAATAAGAAATTCAATTAATGTTAAATAGATTAACAAATTAAAAGAGCATTAAAACTAAATATTTATTTTTATTGTCTAATTTAAATTTACCTATTAACATAAGTTTAGTGATACTATTTATTAAGCCGACCTGTTAAATTTAAAAGATTTTTTAATGTCCGTAACCTAACCTTTTTATCTAAGTAAGTTTATAAAAAAATTAGACATTTTCTATTTAAAATAAAATCTAGTCTGACTTGAGTCTATATAAACTAGACCATAGATTTCTGTTAGTTGACCTGACCTATTCTAACAGTAATTGAAAGAGACATTTTAATTAAATAACTTTTAAAATTACATACATTATATTTTTTGAATTTTTGCATATAGATGTCTCTACAATCCATTGAACTCATTCAAGCATTATGAATTAAATGGAAATATAATTAATGCTTTAGAGATATTCTTTAAGAACATAAAAAAAATAACTTTTTTTAAATTCTTATAATAAATACATTAAAAATTAAAAAATAATTAATATTTTAAAATAATATTATTTTATTTAGAATCCATAAAAAAAAATCCATGTAACCCCAGTTAAAATGACCCTTAATTCAATTTTATTGTATATTATGTTGTTGTATAATACTATATGGATAACACTAATTTATTAATTTTTTATTATTCCATAAATAAAGTCAGATAAGTAGATGTTTGAAAGACGTTTGATGTCTATGCTAAATCAACAACCTGCCACTAGTCCCCCTTTTGAAACAAAAACGTACCACCAAATCAAAGTCCATATACCATGATACATCATTGTGACTTGTTTCTCTTACTCTTTGACCAAAAATTTCATCATCCCAGTTGAATACATCACAATCTTATTCTTTTCCCCAATACTTTCACTTCCAGTATTTTCTCCCTGCGTTTGCAGTTGACTTGGAAACAAACATCTTCATAACAATATTATGGTGGCACAAAGGA